GGGGGGGAGATAGGTCGGGTTTTTCAAAAGGAAAAGCGGCACTTCTCCCAGCTACGGGGCTGCTTCGCGACGGGAGAGGATGGGCCCCGCGGGATGCCCAGAGCCGCTCTCGCGGCTTCGCTCCGTCCCGGCTTGGGGCAGCGACACGGCGGCAGTGCTCCGCTCTGCCCTGCCCTGCCCTGTCCGGGGGTGCAGCCGCGAGTGCTGCAGCCGCGGTGACGGAGCCGCTTTTCGGGACTGGGGTGGGAGTCGCGGGGCCGAGCGGTGTCTCTTACCCTGCCGCGGTCCGCCGCTTCTCTGGCATCGCTCCCTGCACCGCGCCGGGACGACCGAGCGCTCACCGGGGCCGTCCCCACCGCTCGGAGCCCAGCCCGGGGCAGCACGGCGAGGTCCACCGGTGCCGATTCTTTTCCCCACCCCCTCGCAGCCCCCTCTCTCTCTTTTTTTTTTTTTTTTTTGTTTTGACCCTCCGGCGCCACCGTAAAAGGCACGGCTCTTAAGGGGGCTCGGTGAGGAGGGCGGCGTGGCGGGCGGCACTCGCAAAGCGCAGAGCGGAGCGGCGGACGGGCGAGGGCGGAAGGCAGAGGGCACCGGAGGCACCGGAGCCGTCCGTCGCTTTTCTCCCCCGGCCGTCCGCCCGAGCCCTCCGGCGGCGATTTCGCCGCTCCACCTTAACGTGGGGCTCGTTCCTCCGGTGGCGGGCGGAGAGAGCTCGGGGCGCGGGGCTCCGGCGGCCCCGGGCCGGGCAGGGGGCGCTGCGAGCCCTCGGGGCGCGCCTGCGGGCACGGCCTCGCCGGGCAGCGCCGCACCTTGCACCGGGCCCGCACCGCGCCCCGCCGGAGCCCCGCCCGCTCATCCTCGCGCGTCTTGCGCTGCCCGCGGTTCCGCTGTTCAATAATTCAGCGGCGGCAGCAGCCGTTCCCGGCCGCCTCTCACCTCCTCCCGGCCCCGCCATCAATTATTCAGGGCTCGCTCGGTAGCCGCCTGCAGCCGGGCGCCGGTGGGGCCCTACGTTGGCCGGGCCACCCGCTGCCGGCCCCCGGCTCCTGGCAGAGGGGCGGCGGAGGCTGCGTGGGACCGAGCGTGCGCAGGGGCTGGATGCCGGTGGCAGCTCCGTTCCTGCCCGGTCGGTCCCCGCTCCTCAACTCCGGCTTATTTCTTCTCTCTCTCTCTCTCTTTTTTTTTTTTTTTCTCTCCCCTTTCTTCTCCTTCTTCTCCCGGCTCCTCCTCCACCCCTGCCCCTCGGCCCTCCCCCCGCCCGCTGCCCCGTCCCCGCGCCCTCCTGCCCCGCTCGCCTCCCGGCACCCCATCCCGCCGCTCTGCCCTTTCCCCGCTCCCTCCTTCCCCCCGTCCGGCTTCGCTCCGTTCTCTGTCCCCGCGCGCGCCGCTCCATGCCCAGGCGCTCCGCTCCCCGCCAGGTGGGTCTCTGCCTCCCACCGGCGGCCGCGCCGCCGCCCGGGCCCGAGCGAGCCCCGCGGCGCGGTTTTTGCGGGGGGGCGGGCAGGGGGAGGGCTGTGGGGGCGAGGCGGGGTGGCGGTGTTTGGGATGCACAGCCCTGGGACGGCCGCGCCGCGCACACACACGGGCAGGCACACGCACACGCGCGCACACGCACCAAATCCGAACGCGAGGACGGCCCCGAGCGGGACTCGCTTCGCCTCGATGATTCAACGCCGCCGATAATCGCTCCTCCGCTCTTCGCGGCGAGTCCCTCCCGCCGCTGCCGTCGCCGGCAGAGGAGGGAGAGATTGAAAGCGACGCCGCCGGGTCGCCGCTTCCCGCGCCGCTCGGGAGCGGCTCTGCGGGGCGCCGCGCGCCTCCCGCCCTCGGCGCTCGCCGCTCCCAACGCGGGAGCGGATCCGCCTCTCTCAGCCCTCCGCTCCGCACCGCGGCGGCGGCCCCGCGCTTCCCCGCCCCGCGCCCCCGCCCGCCCGCTCCGCTCCGTTCCGTCCGCCGCCCGGGACCCGCCGGGAGGGGGCTTCGGCCCCGCAGCCCGGGGCGAGGGCGAGGAGGGGGCTAGGGGTGGGGGGAGCGGGAGAAGGGAAGAAAGCGGCTCGCGAGGAGGAACCGAGAAAACTTTCCACCCTGGATTCTCTACTTTTGATCCATGGACAGAGCCCAACTCAGCCAACTTACAGCCAGGCTCTAAGCAGTAAGTACGGCGGCGGCTCCCGGCGGTCCGCGGCGGGCGGCGCGGGGGGAGCTACTTCTCCCCTTCCCTGCTCCGCGGCACCTGCCCGCGGGGGCTGCCCGGAGTCCGCCCGGCCCCGTCCCGCCGGGAGCCGCGGGGTCCCGGGAGGAGACGGCGGCTGAAGCCCCCTCGTTTCTTTCCCCCTAGGTCCGTGCTCCTTCTACTGCGATCTGCCAGCGGGAGCCGCGTCCCCGAGCATGGAGCGGAGGAGCGAGAGCCCCTGCCTGCGGGACAGCCCCGACAGAGGCAGCGGCAGCCCCGATGTCAAAGGGCCCCCCCCCGGGAAGGTGGCCAGGCTGGAGCAGAACGGCAGCCCCATGGGCACCCGCGGGAGGCCCAACGGCGCCGTCGCCAAGCCCGTGGGAGGTATAACCGTGCTGCGGAGAGCGGGAGCGCGGAGGGGTCCTGCGGGAAAGCCTCGGCCCGGTCGGGCGGCGCGTGGCTCGGCTGCGAGCCCCGGGAAGCAGCGGCCGGGCCCGAGCTGGGCGGGCGGCTCCGGGTGCGGCTCTGCGCGGCGGGCACGCGGGGCTCGCGGCTGGGAGAGTCCAGGTGCTGCCGGCTGCGTTTGGCAGCGCTCGGCGGAGTGTAAGGGGGACGGGGACTCACGTGCGAGGGCCGGCTCTGACAGCCGAACTCTTTGGCGTAACTTGTGCGGCGATCCCGCAGTTCTCTGCGGTGCCGTAACTTTCATACTCTGCTATCTCGCTGCCGGTCGCTTTCGCGTTCAGAGAGTGCTTAGGGTGAGTCTGAGTAACGCACGTGCTTCGCTTTCTTTTCTTCCAAGCAGCTCGACTCTCTAAAATGTCCTCTTTTCCCGACCGACCTCTGATGCCGCTGTATTTATGCGGCGTAGCCTCGCGTTTGGAAAATCGTATTTAAAAGTCCGAAATTAGCCGTGTGCTACGAGCAGGGCGGGCCAGCCGTAACGTTACCTTTTTTTCTAAAGCCTCTCCGTATTTGTATTTAAAACCGCGCGGAGAGGGAATACACAAACGCGGTTGTTTATACACAAAGAGTTTGTGTAAATGACATTGCAAGAGATACTTCGGGCTGGCCGTCACATGACTCCTGCTACGTGAGATTTATTTAGCGATTTTCCATTAGATGCTGATTTAGACCTCTTTGGCTCAATAGGCGATCTAATTGCTGAGGTTTGCTAAGGGGCTGCAGATCTTATTTTCTTTTATTTTAGAAAAGTAGGACTCATTTCTGTACCTAATGAAGGGTAAGAAACCTCTCTGGTTTTCTCTGTTTCTTGGATCGCTGTGTGTCTGCTTTTAAACCTCTTAACTGTTTTCTTCTAACGTAGAGGAGAAGAAAGCTTTGCGATGAGAGACTTGTAGCACTAATCCACTTAAGAATTGCCAGAAAAATAATTATTGAATAATTATAAAAATCAACGAGTTAATCATATACAAAGCACCAGAGTAGTAATGCGTGGAGTTTTGGATGCCTTTGGGAGACTGAGGCACTACTGCTGCTCAATTGTACAGGAAATTTTAGAGCTGAATCTTTTTGCTGGTGGGCCTTACTGAAGCACACTTACAAGGAACGATTTTAAATGTTTTGGAATATGTATACTGCTTGCTAATTGCTGCTGTGTTTGCTAAGAAATTCCTAGGGCTTTACGATGATATTGGTGGCTCAGATTGAATCTGGCCTGTTGGCTCAGGGAAGATTTCTCACACGACAAAGACTCGTTTCTGAAAGCAAACTTTTAAGAACTCGCGTTTTCATTCATTACTGTTTGGCTCATTTCTAGCGTTGATTTAGAGTGGAATGTACAAGTGTGGGGCAGTAGGTAATGCATGAGAAAATGTTTTTCCTCGCTGGTGTTTTTTAAGCAGTCGGAATCCCTTTAGTTTTAAGAGATTCATAATAAAGTTTATTCATTACTCTGTATCAATACAGAAAGCAAGAAGAAAATTATTCCTATCTGAATACCTACCTAGGTTCTATAATACTCAATACTAAATTAGTTAAGGCAGATCTCTTTAATAAGATAATGGTGCTGTTTAAAATTGATTTCATTTTTTTCCTCTCCTGGAAATGCTCTCAGGATAAATCGACGGTTGATTTCCAGATATTTTTCCTCTGCTCTTTTTCAAGTCTGATCTCTAAGAACCTGTGTGACGAAGCATTCTCTTTCTGGATGCTGATCACACTGTTTCAGTATGTTTGGAAGTCTGCATCTTTGCAGTGAATGCTGCAGCATTCATAATTCTTTTTCTGTCCAATTGTGAAATGTGGCTGTAGGCATCAGCGGGAAGACTTTTAATCTACTGACAAATTAGTATGAAACTTCTCTTCAAACAAATATTGATAAAGGCCCTTTTAGTGCTATTCCTGGTTTTGATAAAAAGGGAACTACTGAAGGATGTAATGAAATGACATTCAGGGCTTTGATTGTCAGTCTTTCAGTTTGTTCTTACATTTCAACCTCAAAATAAGTGCTGAAATCAATGGAACGTGAACTTCAGGAAAAAAAATTGAAATATTTTACTGAAGCTAGAGACCATTTTAGTTTGGATTTTTTGTTATTTTTTTAATTCTGTAAAGTGTATGTAGAGATTTTTAAAAGCGAAGACAGATACTAATAGTTCTTTTGGGCCTTAGAGATGTAAATACTGGCACTCCTTCCTCCCTGTCAAGCGTCTTGTTGGTCTTACACTGTGTGTTCCTGAACAAAATCCCTGAGAACAGAAAAATAAGCTCTAACTAACTGGTGCTCTGATGAGAACGATGACCTTTGGTAACAGGTTTTATAGTCACAGTTACTTTTGCTACCATTTTCTTTTTAAGGGACTCCCTGAGAAATAGAAAAATATTATATTGTTGTAGGTATTTGTAGCTTTTCGTCTAGATTTATGAGTGGAGAAGTGTATAGATATCAGCTTTTGTAGTGCAGGCAGAAGAGCAGTTGTTCTCAAGAAAAATCTTGTCTTTATGACTCTCTTTTTTTTTTTTTTTCTTTTTTTTTTTTTTCCCCTGTTCCTAAACTGAAGGTACTTAATTCAGAGGCTGTAATAAACTAGCAAAGGTCAGAAAAAGATAAACAGGCTCTTAAAGGCTGCAGTTAACAGGGGCTTCAGAAGTTCTGGTGCTGTTCACAATAATGTTAGTGTCAGTCCTACGTGTTAGAGTCCAGTTCTTGTTTGCCCTGAGCAGCCCAGTGCTCTGCAAAACATTTAAGCAGCTATCCAACTTGTTTGTTCTATAACTCATATACGAGGAAGCACAAGTGTTCAGATGTTCAGGAGAGGCAGATTTATAAAGGTTCCTGGGAAGACAACAACAAAAAAGGCTAATATTGCTTTAAAAAACATATGAAGCCTGGGAGAGAGTTTAAAGCAAGTAAGAGCACCGTGGTGTTGACAGCTTTATGTCTCTGTTGGGTAACATTCACTTACTAGAATTGGCGTCTCCTTGCAGTTAGTAATTCACTCCATAAGGATTTAGGGGGAAGAAAAAAATCATTAATGGCTAAGAAACTTATATTTGTAAAATTGTTGACCACAGTTCACAAACCTGTTTGTGCGTAAGTGGATGTGCGTATGCTTTTATGTGTTTGTCAGGAAGAGCCAAGGAAATGAGCATCTGCAGCCTCTGAGCGCTACTTACAGTGCCAGGGTACGGGCAGAGCTGTTCTGAAATTTGGTTTGCTGAGGTACAAACATAGAACCAACATACTGCCAAGGAACTCGTTCAGGTTTGGGGCAGGAAATGACTGCAAAAAATTGCCGGTTAGATTATTTTGATGCGGTCTGATAGTAATAACAGTTAAGTGACTCTCAATCTATAATATGATTTAATTTACAAAATATTAATGGAGAAAAAAACCCAGAGATGGTTCAAACTAAATGATGTGATCGGGACGCTGATCTGCAGCGCGATTCCCGTGCTTAAGTGGAGTCGGGTGCATGGGTTGTATGGATGGTGGCTCTCGCTGAGGTGAGCACCTGGAGGCTCTGCTGTGTCACAGCCATGTCTGCTCAGGTACAGAGAGAGATCTGTTCTGATCTCTCCCTGGGGCAATGAAAGTGCCGTCCAAGGATGGTTAAAGAGTTCTTTGTCAAGGTCCATTCTATTTCTGCAAAAAAATGTTATAGGATCTTCACTGTCTTCTGTATCTCTTACAAGGATTTAACATACTTTAATAGGGAGCAAAACTCACTTACATGCAGCTGGAAGAGTAGAGCTTGCTCAGCTCTGCTATTCTGCTCTAAGCAGTCAGGTGGCATTAAGCTCTCTATGGGATCCTGAAAGGAGCAAAGAAGCATGTTCCAGTTGTTCTTACTAATTGAGCAGAAGGCTAGGTTAAGTTTCAGACGGTCTTCCTACCTGGATGAGGGGTATCTCCTTGCTGCCGAAAGGAAGGACGTAGCTATTTGGAAGAATTGAACGTTTTGAGGTACAGAAGCACGAGAGCTGCGGATCCTTGTTAGTTTCAGAACCAGCAGTGCGTGACTGTATTTTCTGTTGCAGAATAGTTGGAAAATGTTGCCTTTTGTCTCAGTATGATTCACTAGGAATTACGAGGAAATGTAAATGCGTTTCTAATATGTAACAAGGAAGAGACTTTTAGTTTAACCTGAAGCTTAAGAAAAGCAAGGCAGTGATTTCTTTTCCATGGCTGATGCTTAAAAATGGGTATCTGTTCTTTTTCCCGATTTCCCCCTCCTTTTCCAATCAGCTTATGTTGCTTAAATAGAATAAATAGAGCAGTTGCTCCTGAAGGGTCACGTAGTGTATCAGCTGTATTTCTGCTGAGGTAGAAAAATAGCCTCTCTTTATGTGTTTTCAGTAGTCGGCCTGTTATTAAAATAAAGACACGGTCGGTTAAAGTATATGTGCAATTGAACATACACATTAAACAGAATATAGGGTATCCACCCATTCGGTGACCTAGGCATAATTTGATGTTTAGAGTAATTTTGGAACTCTAAGTTGCATCTGCAGAAAGCCACTGGCAATTTTGAATTCGAGATTTAAGATTAGCTGTAGCAAGATTGTATTTTTTCCCACAACAGTTCCTAAGTATTTAGCGTCATCTCCCCGCTTCCTCCCCACCCCAGACACAGCCACATCAGTTAACTTGATGCATTGTCCTCATCATGAGCAAAAGGAAAGAAAAAGCAACCATCTTTGAAGAAGTCGCCATTAACTCTTTCTCCCTTCCCTGTGTAAGTTGTGTCCTGCCTTTCCTTTCTGTTGCTGGGACAGAGTAGATTCATTGTCAATTATTTATAGGGTGCTTGTTTGAGAACTCTTGCCAGAGTGATTCTGTCAGTGGCTGCCCATGATTCTCTTTCTGCCTGAGGAAGATGGCAAAATTATACTAAAATTTTTAAACAGTTTTAAACTTT